ATCAGGATCTGTGGAGGGTCACATGTGAACCAGTCACTGAGCACTCAGCAAATATTCCCAGAGAAAACTATGTAGCAGGCAAAGTACCCAATGAGGCAAGCCTGAGTATCTAAGCACTTGGGATAGATTCATTGCTAAACAAAATAGGCAACATCCCTTCCCTTAGCCCCTCTATAATTCAATGCAGATACAATGCTGAAGAGATGAGCCCTCCAAGCATAAAAGACAAAGGAAATATTAAAAGTAACTTTCGTCAGAAGATAGTTACTTACCTAGAGTTATGTGATTTGATCCAGTATAACAATTGGAATTCCAACTCCTGGCCCTGGCCCAACCTAGGAAAGCTAGTAAACCAGTCCCCACTACAAAATCACCTTGTGTAAATTCCCACAGTTCCAGGGGACTTGGTATCTTAGATAAGGTAAAGAAATGTTATGGAAAGCTTGGCTGACCTTTTGTTTTTGGCAACAGGGTGCTTGAAATAATTCTTTGCTGACACCTCTGTAAGAACGTTATTGTACATGGTAGTTGTTAAAAGCTGGCCTGCCTTCGTTGGCCCAGATTTTTCCTTGTGGAAAGTCGACCATCTTAGGTAGTGGAGAATTTAAATAGCATGAAAAATACAAAGGTGAGCTAAATAGCTTTGAGCATGTAGTTCATGAAGCAAAGCAGCAAATACTCTATAATTTTCATTTTTAAGATAAAGCAGTATTTATTATTTACATGTTTTGCACAGAATACAAACTGCAAGATTGCAGCCCTCACCTAACACACTAAGTTTCCACTTTTTGTTTCATCTCTGCAGCAGTCTTGGTTGGGTAGTTCTACATAATCTTCCAACCTTATTGTCCTGTTCCTGTCTCCTTCCATAATGATGGACTCTGAGCTCTAACACTGGAGGATGCCAATGCTATATTTTAAGAGTGGATTCCAACAGGAAGATAAAGTTTGAATTTAGAAATTGTAAATATCAACACTTTGGGTTACCTTGAGTTTATCGTTCATGGACAGTGAAAAATATCTGCAGTTTCAAGCTGGAGCTCTCTATCAGGGCTAAATCGTTGATTGTCTTTCCAGTACACCATGGGAATGCTGACTTAAGAAATGGTGGCCCCCATCTGCCAGCACCTTCAGCTCTCACAGTCCACGCTGGGCCACCGCAGCCCAGTCTCTCCACCCTCAGACACACTGCCCTTGACTCCCGGAATGGCTTTCAGGCTCTTTCCACTGTTCTCTCTGCCCTCCGTCTAATGAGGCAAAGGTACAGTCATTTCGCTCTTCTTGAAGCCTCTGTGACTCCCCGTAGCCCCTGGGATAGCTGAACAGCCCTGGCCCACATAACCATTTAGAGTCTGGACCTGTCTCCCCGCCACATCACTGTGGGTTTTCTAAGGGAAGCCCACTCTTTTGGCCCGCAGGCTTTGACTGGCCCAAACTGGGCCCTGGTTCCTACTCCCAGCTCCTCTGATTACCCTGATCAACTACTTCAAATCCTTTCAGGCCCAGCTCAGATGTCACCCTACCTTCCTGGATTCTCATCTTCTAACCAGAATTGATAGATCAACATTTCCTCATACTCCTATATTAGAATTTTAACCATACCTCAATTGTAGTATAATCACAACATAGCATGGTTTCTTAGGTGTTTTGGAAAATTAGAACAATTGTTAATTTTCCCCACTCATGTGTGTTTTCCTATGCCTTCTATTTTATCAAGATATACATAGAATATGAAATTTAAATTAGACCTACACCCTCCCCGTAAGGACTTCATATTTAAATTTCATACGCTATTAAGTCCTTAACGGGAGGGTGCAGGTCTAATAGAGCTGCTCTGAAATAAATATCTTTTGATTCAACCAAAGAATCTATCAATAAATCAATGGATGAATTCATGCAGCATCAGCTCAGGCAGCTCTTGTTCCAATATGTCTGGCTCCATGGAAATGTGGGACTGGTGACTGCCGCAGAGATTTCACCCTGCAAGTTTGTGAATGAGCAGAAGATAGCACAGGGAGGAATTTTGTATTCATATATCTTTCTGTATCAACTAATAACAAATCAAGAAATCATTCTCTGCTCGTGAGCTTTTCTTCCTTATATTAATATTGTAGAATTTTTTCTTTAACGTTTCTTAAACCATTTTTATAAAAGTTTTATATGAGCATTATGAAAAAGAAAAAGGTTGTAAATAGTGTGAAGATACAAAGGTACGATTATTTTACAAATAAGTGGTCGACCCGTGAACAACACAAGTTTGAACTACACAGGTTCACTTACACTTGAAAGTTTTTCAGTAGTAAATGCTACAGTGCTGCACTGTCTGTGAATCTTTGGATGCAGAGGAACCAAGGGTAGGGAGTTACACACAGATTCACCCCCACATTGCTCCAGGGTCAACTGTAAGTTCAAAAGTGAAAGTTTCCATCTGCCCTTCTCTAGAAATCATTAATGATTCAGTAATTATATTCCTCTAAGTAGTTTTGCTATGCATACATTAGCCCATATATTATTAGCTATAATAATGTGATCATACTATGTATTGGGATTTGCATCTCCATATTATCCTATCTTTCCGTGTATAGAGCTCTCAATATTTAATAACTTTATTTATAGATGTGCTGAGTCTTCCTTACTGCGAGGGCTCTTCTCTAGTTGTGGAAGCCAGCGCTGTTTAGTTTGGGTGCCCAGGCTTCTCCTGCGATCCTCTCTTGTTGTGGGACATGCTTGGGCTGAAGGGCGCTCAGGCTCCCGTAGTTGCGGCTTCCGGGTCTAGAGCACAGGTTTAGTCGTGGCACATGGCTTAGTTGCCCTGCGACATGCAGGAGCTTCCCACACCAGGAATAGAACCTGTTCTCCCGCACTGGTAGGCAGATTCTTCACCATATAGCCACCAGGAAAGCCCCCTCGATGTCCCAATATTTATTGGAAGATTTATTCTTTATTTCTTAACACGTTGACAGTTTTTCAGCAATGAAGTCTGAAGTATGTTGTATTAAACCACAGATCTACAGGAACAGAGAAAGTTGAAAAACTTAAGCAAAGGTTTACATTCTTAAGGAATACTGTAATTACCTGTCCATGGAAAGAGACATTTCCTGGACTGGGAAAGGGTTATTTCAGAGCAGCAGAGAGTGAGTGGTGGGTTTTTACTAGAAGTCATAACTCTGAATGGAGAGTCAAATGGAAGGATCTGACCCTGTATTCTCCCACCCAGCCTGGGCTATAGACTCAAGACACCTGCCTGGTATTATTGTCACAACCAGCTATCAAATTTTAAGAGACTCAAAAAATATTAGAACTGGTGGAGTCTCTGGAAGCATCTAGTTTGAGATGGTGAAGCCTGAGGTCCAAGTTGGAAGAGTGGGTTTGAGGAAGTAATTGTGGGAAGGGTTTGGGAAGAAACCAACCCAGTACTTCAGTAGGGCAGTTTTACTTTCATCAGTTTCAATACTGATTCCTATTTTAGTTGAAAAATAGACTGTGTTCCCTCCTCAGAAGTTCTAACCACTGACATAGCATTTTTAGAAATTAAAAAAAAACAAAACAAAAACTAATACCTTATAGAAGTGATTTGTCCCTGAGCCTAGTAGTTAACGGAGAATAGACTTTTAAGTCTCCTAACTCCAAACCCAGCGCATCGGGATATTTTGCAGGGAGGATTTACCTTACCCTCAAAGGAGTTAGGAGTTGGGGGAGGGGATGGCTGGCTGGGAGGATCAGAGTAGTAAATCTAAAGAGGGACTGGGTGTAGAAAATGTTAAAGAACCAGTGCTCTCTAATCACATTGCTTTAAATATAATCAAAGGCGGAAAGAAAGTAATTGGAGACCTAGAGAAACTGCAACCTATTATAAAACAACATCCAACCTATTAACTCTCGGAAGAGCTGATACTGCCTTCAGGCCCTTCCCTGGGGCTGCTGAGGACTCAGCTGACCCTAGAATTTGCACGTGATCAGTTTGCCATCAGGATATACTGCCCAATCAGAGATACAACACAAATGTTAGAGTTAAAAAGAAGGTAAAACACTTTACATAAACATTTAGTGGTAGCAAATTTGGTAACAGACTTGAAGAATTATGATTATGATTGTTTTTCTGGATCTTGGTTTTTTTTCTGGACAAGATGTAGGATCCTACAGGTTGTTGTCAATGCTAGCATTGTCTGACTCTGTGGTTTATTTTTTAAGCTATTTTCATTAGAAATTGCATCCAACATTACAGATGTTGTGATTCTTTTAGTTACCTATCTCTACATAGTCAGCACTACCCAAATGCTGTCCTAAAAACTTGTCACCCTATTTAACATTCCCTATGCCAATCGCCCCTTAAATTTAGTGAGTGAAATGTCATTTGATGAATTTCAGAGTCCTTGATCTCTCTTTTCTATTCAGAAACATAGACATTCAATCATTTAAATAGACTCTTCCTAGATGACTGACTTTTAGTTACAAATCCTTCCACATAGCTGAGACCAAGAGCAACTCTTACTCTTCAATAAAGTAGGTCTGTTTAACAAATGGAAAAATAGAAGCAAGGAGCAGAAAAGACCTCAAGGTCACCTTATACAAATCATAGGAGAACCAAGGAATAGAACTCAGTTGTGCTTTATATTTTGTACGTTTATCTCTTTCTCCCAGACCCAATAAAGCTGACAGGCATTTGACAACCAAAATGCTCTCTTTATTTCTCTGCCCTTGGCGTTTTTCTTTCTTTCTCAGTCTCCTCCGTTAAGACACTGGAGTTCTGTCTGGCTTTAGGTTAGAAACAGAGTTCCTTGTTCAGGTATGCCATGGCAATGAAGGCCTGAGAAGAATGTCCAAAAGTCATTCGTTCATTCAACTCCTGCTTATTGGACTTGTCCACGAAGTGCGGGGCATGAATCTTAGTGCTGAGAGTAGAGTAATGAACCCCCAAAGGCTAGGGAAGAAGACAGACAGCAAACATGAACAAATAGAATGTCAAAGAATGTCAAGCAAGAGTGCTGTGAAGACATGGTGATATTTGGGATGGGCAGCTGGAAAAGGCCACTCTGAGTGAGAGTAGGGCAGAGACCTTGCTGGCTAGAGGGAAGCGAGTCCTGTGAATTTCTGGGCTTCCTTTCTCAGCCTCCTGGCAAGTGTGATTTCCAGGCAATGAATATTCCTCCCCGATAAAACAAAAGGATGCTGGTTGGGGGCCTTGCTCTCCATCCTGCATAAGTTCACCCTTGACAATAACAATGTCTTTCAGACCCGACTAAGGTCTGTTACATTCAGATTGAACTTTAGTAGGAAGTTTTTAACTGTCTCCAAACCGGCTTCATCACTGAAAACACTTAAAATAGGGAATAAGGCGGACAGTAACTGTTGAAAATGTAACAAGCAGTATTTACCAGTAACTGCATGAGAAGAAGCACACTTAGAATGGCAGACATTTAATACTGGTAAGTGTTGCTATGGCTTGCAGTTGGGAGGGTTCTGAGGCCTTGGCTAAGGTGTAGCTCTCCATTAAAAGCTTTCAAAAAGGATCCACCTGGCAAAAAGCATTGGCCTGTTGATACTCTCTGCATTATAATGATATGATAGTTTGGGGTTTGATTTAAGTCAGTAATGGACTGCACACTGTCAGCTGATGACTTCCGTGAGAAAGTCCAAACAGAAATGAAATAGGAAAAAGGAAATCTGACCTAGGTATTCACAACTCATTTCACAGCTCCACAGAGGAAAGTGGTCATCTTTGAAGTCCACCCCTACCCTCTCACCAATCTCCATACAACCTGAAGGCAGAGGAGATCTACATTAGAACTGTTTGGGAACCATCTTCACAACTTGTGTTCTAGATTTACCAACATAGAGTATATTTCAATAACAGATCCTGTTGCAGTGTTTCCAAGCTAGTCTACTAGCAGAGCCATTACATTTTTGGGGGGCCTCTGCCACTTTAAAAAAGTAACTTAAAAAAAGCAGCTTTCTCAGCTGCCTTGCTTTGCAGCAGAGATAACAGAAATTGGCCACAGAGTTATTCACTTGACTGCTCTATTTATAGCAACTTGTTTGTGTATTTTTAAATCACAGTTACAATGGGCTATTGTTCAGTTGTATACTGTAGAAACATATATGTTGCAAATTACTTCCAAGGAATCCTGATGGTCTAAGGATTTTTTTTTTCTAATATAACCTGAAAAAGAGATAGGATACCCAAGGAACTGGTGACCATTTTAAGTTGCATTTTATAAACTGATAAAGCTCTTAAATATTGCATCTTTTTCTCTCTCTTCTTTTGGCATATTGCCTTGTGATAAGGAGGCTATTGTAGAAATTAAAGTTTGTAGTTTTGAAGTGACTCAGTCTTTTGCTGCAGATTGTAGTTTCTTCCTGGGCTTGCCTTGAGGTCCTGTTTTTGCTTCTATTCCCCCTATCGGTAGGCAACTAATGCCAAGCTTCACTTTTCCTTAGTGTACATAGAAATATTAACAGCTCAGAAACAAGATTAGCCATGAGTATCAGCATAGTCCTTGTGTTTGAATAATTATATTCACTTAACAACTCTTATTCATGTACTTGATTGAGTGCATCCCGTGACCTGGTTCCTTTTCTTTGGATGTTATTTACTGATAAAAATAAATCTGCGCTAAAAGCAGGAGGAACCTCTCCGAAATGCAAGGCAAGTCCTAAGAGGAGAATTCATATGTTAATGAGCCCTTCCAAGTGAGAACTTGGTTAAACGTGCCATTTGCTGACATCATTGTTATGGGCAGAGAGGAGATGATTTCTCTAAGAGGTGTCCTTGCATATGCTCCCAGCGTTTTCTGGCCCGCGCGTGCACCTGCGGGAGGGGGAAGTTTACATAAGCGTCCTGGGGTATTTGCATCTCGGCTTTAACACTCACTAGGGCTCCCGGGAATGGAGCGGGCGGACCGAGGTAGGAGCTCGAGCCACGAGGCTGGCCAAGTGGGTGGGTAACTCTTCGAGGAATCGTTCGTGCGCGGGACCTTGTGGAGACCTGCCAGGCGCACGGTCAGCAGTGACAGTTCCTGGAAAGCGGGTGGCAGCGGGATCTGGCCGGGTAGGCTCCTCCTGCGGACGGGAGCGGGGAGCGGAGTTGGGCGGGGATCGCCAGCCCGGCGGCCGGCCCGCAGCGCCGCAAGGAGGGTGGGACCGTCAGGAAGCGAAACGGTTACTTTTTTTTTTTTTTTTAATGCGGGCTCTGGTTACTTTTGAAGATCGCGGGCCCAAGAGCAGAGAGGAGACGGGTTTTTTCTTTCCGCGGTGGCGTATCCTGGAGAGACGCGGCGCTGAGGCGTGGGGGATGCGGTGGCCTGGGCGAGGCGACTCCAACACTGGGGAGCAGAGTCGGCGACGCCGGCGGGGACGAAGGGTCTCTGGAAAGCTGGGGGACTTCTTGCCGGCCCCCTCACGGCAGGTTAGACGGCGGCCGCGGCTGAGGGTCGCCGCGTTGCACCGAAAGGGGACTCACAGGACCGGCCGGCGGACCTCGCGTCACTGCGGGGCGGGGGCGACCCCTCGCTGACCGGGCGGGGCTGACACTGCGCGGCGACGGGGCCCCCGCGCTCGCTGCCCCTGCCCCTCGGCCCGCGCCCTGCTGGGGTCTCGTCCGGAAAGGGGTGGGCGCGGATGACCCTAGGGACCCCCAGCCCTGTTTTCCTACGGGAGCACCCGCGCCGGGCCGCCAGCCGCGGCCGGTCGCAGAGCTGGGGACGGCGAGTGCGCGCCAAGGGTTCTACGGAGGGGCTGCAGGCCGCATTCGGCCCCGCGGCCGCAGGTGGGGAGCCGCCGTCTGGGTTCCGGGGCTCGTTGGCGATGGGCCGCGGGGGCTGAATGCTGAGGCTAAGGGGAGGGTTTCGCGTTGGAATCTGAGGATAGACGCGGGGACCGGCGGTCGAGCGGTGGAACGAGTGCGGTCCCGGGTGAGGAGGTAACGCTGCCCCGAGGGCGGCGCGGGAGCCTCGAAGGCTCCGGGTGTCGAGGAGCTGCCCTCGCGGGGCTCTCGCCGGCGCCGTGAAGGGCTCGTCTCCTCGCTTCGGGATCTGGAGCTGGGCGTCTAAGTCCGGGAGGCCGCGGAGGCGGAGGAGCCCAGGCCCGAGGCGGACCCGCGGCCCGTAGCCGGCGCCGCGCGGAGGGTGGGCTTGCGGGCCGCGGGCGCGCGGGCTCCGACTCCGGGCGTTCCTGAGGCGGACGCGGAGGGCCCGGCGGAGCCCCCCAGCCCGTACCCCGCGGCCCACCTCGAATTAGTCCCCTGCGTTTTTCGGAAGGACGGGGTGATATCCCTTCCTCGACTCCTCTCCCGCGGCCTTTTTAGAAACCTCGGGTTTTCACGTTAATCTGCGTCAGTATAGGCCAGGCTATGTGTGGAATTTGTTTTTACAACTCGAGTCTTGTGACTTCTCAAACACTTTCTTGAAGTGTTTTCTCTGGAAACTTGTTTCAAATGAGGGCTGTGCGTTTCACAAAGAGGAGTGTTGTTCAGGCGCCAACAGGTGACGGGGTGAAACCCGAGTCTGTGTGTACATTGGAGTCAAGTCTGGCTGCCGTTTCCTTGGGCCGCCGTTGAAAATGGAAATTCAGAAAGTCAATAGGAGACTTGAATACGATTTTGAGAAAATATCTGCGTCTCCCATTATGGAAAACAATGAGTTCATGAGACAGCGCCTCGCGCCGCCCGCCTCACACCGCAGCCTGCCCTTTGGATTCTGCCTTGCAGGCCGGCTTACAGCCAAATAACCTGACCCCCAAAGCGCCGCTCTGGCAAAGGACCCTGCTTTGTCATCAGGTTTCCTCCTTTTGTTAAGCAGTCTGTCTTACTGTCGTGGAATGTATTTGTGCATGAAATTAGCCTGCTTTGAAACCCTGCAGAGTTCCACATTTCCTCTTGGAAAAATAGATAGCTTCTTGGCAATGGTGTGGTGCCTGTCGGGCCACTCAGCTGTCGGAAAATGTACCAGTTGGATGGAGGTTTACCTGGAAAATACAGAAAAGGCCAAAGGGCACATGGCCTAATGTCACTAATTGCTGGTATGAAGTCCTTTTAGTCAAGGAATGTTTCATAAGCAATACCTTCATTGTTTTTATTTTACAGTTATTGTGATTCATTTCAGAATAAGTACGGTTGGGTTGGGCTCTGTTGGCCAGGACTTTCTTATTGTCTTTAGCAGACAATAGGCTTGAGTGCTCTTTATGTGAAAACTTTAAAGAGATTACAGTTTAGTGACGTTTGCTATGAAATTCAAATCTTGATTGTAATAGTTTTGAGACCTATGGCTTTTGTAGACCTCTGACTTTTTTTTTTTAAGCTAAGGACACCATAAAACTAGGGTATATATATGGGTGTGCGCACACGCATGAGCGTGCTTGGATGTCTGTGTTTGTAAAGAATGGAAGTGTTACAGGATTCCCTACTGCCAAATGAGTCTGTAGTTAAATTTAACTCACCTACATATTTAGCCTGGCTGAATTAGAGCAGATCTTGAGTGGGTGTGTGTGACCCGAAGCTTCTATGTACAAAGGCCTTGTTAACAAGCAGTTTAACAAAGAAGTTGTTAAGCAGCTTGTGGCCCACAGGATGACACTTAGCAGCAGGGGACACTTACGGAATGTTAGCCCAACTGACTTCACAAATCATTATCTGTTCTGGTTTCTGGTGATCAAAGGACTTCTAACTTTCCTGGGCATGTCCACACCAGAAATAACTTTTTCCTAAGGATCCTGCAGTGCTGCAGGTAGTCTTCTCATAGGAACTAAAGTGGAATTTTATTAGGAAAAGTATTTGCAATTAAGGGTATGACCTTCGACTTCATTAGTCAATGGCTGGCACTGAAAATTATTCTGTTTTCTATTTGCATGATTTTGATTTGATTCCTTGACTTGGTCCAAGAAAATGATGACTAATAGGAACCATACCAGCACTGATGTACAGTTATAACCTCAATGTGAATCTGATTGAACTCATTCATCTCAACGCTCCCAAATCCTCACTCCCTGCTGACTTGCCTAGACAGTATTTCCATATTGGTGCATTGTTTTTCAACTGCCTAGGACTCAGAACCCTCTTTGACCCAGTTTTCCTCTTTCTTATTGGTTCCTTTTACTTTCTCTTCGCAAGCCACTACCTTTAGGCTCTCTTGATGATAGTGGGCTAGTAGGGCCCTCCCAGGTTCCTTTTCTCTTTTCTGACCATCACTGTCATATGTAAGACCAGGAGGGGAACCTTCCTACTTATCTGCCTTTTGTTCTTTTCCTTGCCTATGGGGTTCAGTCCAAAGTCTCTTCTGCTTGAGATATGCAATTATTCAGTGGTACCGCTGTCATCTGGAAAGAATATGTCTTTCAGCAAAACATTGACCCTCTACTGCCTCTAGACTTTCATATTCTATGTTGACTTGTTAAGATTTTTAGGGAAAAATAGTAAAGGCTCACTTATGTATAGGTCAAGGTCAATCAAAATAATAATCCTTAACTATCATGGATGCAGCATACAGCTCAATAGAAAATAAATGATCTCCAAGTGGCCAAAATAGCATAGCAAAATAATAAGGCCGTTTTTTAGTTTGAATAACACCTTCACACACTGTATGTCATCTTAAACAGTGATGGCTGTGCTTATGGGAGGGATGCTTAAGCCCTTGTCCATATAATAATGGACAGCATAATAATAATAATAATTTACAGCATAATTATTCTATATACTTGTGGTCAAACTTTTCAAACTGCAATTGCCTAATTTATAGAATATTGAAAGCAACAAATTAAAGTCATGTGTCTGGAGCCATGCAGTTCTGGACATCAGCTCTGCATTGTGGGATAGTCCTCAGCTCCTCGTTGAGGATGGTTCCCAGGCTGTTCCCAGCTGGATGGCTGACTTAGAACTCCTTTTGTTTAAACTCTTAAAGCCAGTGTTCTTTACACTGTTCATCTTCTACTCAAAATGAAAACAAATGATCAGCCAAAGGCTAAATCATACATAGTTTACACACACCACCACTATTAAAGAAAGCAAGGAAATTCCATATGAAATTTGGAAACATTCTTATCACAGCAGGTACTTAAAAAAAAAAAAGTTCTAGCTTTTAATGGAATGAATGTCAGTTGCCTTGTTTTTTGATGTTTCTCAGAACGATTCAATAATGGTCCTTAAATATAAGGATGAATGAATGAGTGGAGTAAATGAATCTGGAAAATAAATTTCGTAAGGGACTCCTCCTTCGATGATTGAATTTGGGGAACAAGTGCCAGCTCACAGCCTCATAGCGCCACTGGGGGTTCCCAATTTCTGCTCTGTGTAAGACATCTGGAAAGATCCTGCCGTGTTCCATAGACTGCTTACACATGCAGTGTGTGTGTCTCTGTCTTAGTGTCTGCCTGCCAGAGGTTTTATGGAGGGCCTAGTTACTCCAACCTCATGCCAAGGGAGTTGGGAATGGTAGCCAATAATTGATCGCCCTTCAGGAGGCTGGAGTGCCCTGAACTCAGAAGATGAAACTCCCCTGTCAGCATTCAGCCTTTGTTACTAACGTGTTCTTATTTTGGATGGCCTGGTCAGCTTCCAGATGTATGTAATCAGAGTGAAAGTACCAATTGGCACATGTCAGTGATAACTTTAATTCTTTATATTTATTTAATTATTTTATTCTTTAAAACTGTCACGTCCTTAGGCCATCTTTGGAAGGAAAAGAGTGGCTTTTGGAGAGAACCAGGCCCCACAATAGCCTGGGGATTTGGGGGAGGCGCTCACTGAATGCCCGGGGCAACAAGTTGCCTTCCCTCAGCGCTGCTCCTTTCCCTGGGGTCAGGTGTTCTTTTGACAAGTATATGATGATTGAGAAGTCAGACATCTGTGAGCTGTTTGTCTCTGAATCTTTTTAAATGGTGAGCAGTAGCTATTTAACTACCTTGAAGGAAGAAGGAAAAGAAAGGACACAGCAGGGGCAATGGGACTCTTCCACTTGAGAATCCTCATCTTTCTAGGAATGAGCATCTCATCTCTCCTTACCCAGCCTCGGGCCTCTTTGACGTGTTATTAGCTTTAAGATGTTGCTTGCCCTACACATTTCCTTCATGGTCAGGCTCACTGTTTTACTTCTTTTCTCTGCCTGATCAGGCTTATTTACATCCAGAATCATAAAGATGTTGGAGAGGTAGGGCCATTACCGATTCATTTCCTTAACAGGGGCAAACCTGACGCAGAATTGGTTAATGCACGATTGCCGTTCACTTGTGATTGAGTTCATTCCGTTTATTGCAGCGTTTCAAGACCAGGACAAGAAACCTGCCTCAGAATAAGCACAGAATACTGATGGTTTGAGCTATTCTGGCTTCTTACTCAATTTATTTCTGTCATCTAACGTGGTATCTTGCACATAGTTTTATTTTTTTTAAATAAACTTTAAGATACCATGTTTAATTGTGGTTAAGTAAGAGAATGTAAAAAATATTTTCAAATGGTTCCCACAAAAGCATGTGTGTCTGTGTGTGGAGGAGGAGGATAAAGCAGATGAAGCATAATGTAAACAATTGATGAGTCTGGGTAAAAGACTGCCTAAGTTTGTTCCTTCAGAGAAGGCAGTGGCACCCCACTCCAGTACTCTTGCCTGGAAAATCCCATGGACGGAGGAGCCTGGTAGGCTGCATTCCATGGGGTCACTAAGAGTCGGACACGACTGAGCGACTTCACTTTCACTCATTGGAGAAGGAAATGGCAACCCACTCCAGTGTTCTTGCCTGGAGAATGCCAGGGACGGGCATTCTGGTGGGCTGTCGTCTACAGGGTCGCACAGAGTTGGACACGACTGAAGCGACTTAGCAGCAGCAGCAAGTTTGTTCCTTACTCACAACTTCTCTGAAGTTTGAAATTACATCAATATAAAAATTTACAAAAGTAAATAATATGAGACACAGGATAGGGCCAGCCTTGTCCGTGTAACTGTGGTTCTGCCAAAAAAAAGTTTCACTTTATATCAAACCCCAAAATTCAGTTTTTAAAAAATATTTATTTATTCATTTACTTGGCTGTGTCGAGTCTTAGTTGTCAGGTCCTCTTGTGCAGCTCAGCGTGTGGAATCTTAGTTCCCCTACGAGGGATAGAACCTACATCCCCTTCATTGGAAGGTGGGTTCTGAACTACTTAACCACCAGGAAAGTCCTATTTCAATTATTATTCAACTTAGTTGCAGATTTAATTTGTTGATTCTGTTTCACATGATCAATTTTAAGAGACAATACCTGGAAATAGACTGAATAGGATTTTCCTATTAGATCTAATTCAGTGATGGTTTCATGGTTGGCCTAAAAGATATTTAATAGTATTTTGGCAAAAAGCAAATGCAGCCACATGAAGATGTCATTAGGAAGACCCTTCCTCTTCACCCAGAGCATAAGCAATGGCCAGGCTTCCTTCTTTTGTGCTGCAAAGTACATACCATGTAGTAATGTAAATGTCTACATAAGGGATATTTATGCAATCACATTTCTGTGATTTTTGTTATTTTATATATTCTTATATGTATAAGAACCGTCCTCAGCAGTCAGTTCCTTACATGTGATGTAGTCTGAGACAGTGATATACTTAACAGTACACTTTCTGGGTCTGCTGACAAGCACAGGTCATTTATAAAAGACAAATCTGACTTAAAGTTGTTATGCTGTCAAGAAGAGAAAAAGGAGCTATGGAAATACAGCATCTCTACCACTGACAGGTAAGTAGGAGGTCACCTGGCTAAGTTGTATTTTTTTAATATTTGTTTTTGGACAGCTCTTAGAACTTACTAGTACATGTCATGTTTTGTCATTTTAAGTAATTATCCTCTGATATAAAGGAAAAAGACATTCTCCAAATTAAAAGCTCTGAAGCAACAGTTCATGAGGTCATTGTTTTATAATCCTCTTGACTCTGTGTTCTCCTTGAAATGCCCTCTCTGGGGGAGGTGGATGGGCCGGGTCTGATGGTGTCATCAGGCATGTCTGTGGTGCAGCAGTCTGATGACTTCACAAACGAAAAAGTTCCACCCAGGAGGCAGCGCAGGGTTGCAGGGGTTTAAGGTCACAGATGAACCATGTTCTAAGGCGGCTGCCCTTGGACAGGTGACCCATGGCCGATCACTCTGAGACTCGGTTTGCCCTTCAGTTTTAAGCAGATTCACCCTCTTGGGGTTGTTTGGTGTGGTGCACTCTGAGACTCGGTTTGCCCTTCAGTTTTAAGCAGATTCACCCTCGTGGGGTTGTTTGGTGTGGTGATCGGATGTCACATCACTGATCATGCCAGGCTGGGCGCAGAGGAGTGAGTTAGCTGTCAGAGTGCCAGCAAAGGACACGGAAAGCCACACCCATATCACTTGCGTTTCTTCAGCGCATCGCTTCGCCCGTGAGTGCGGAATGACAGTTTGCAGCACAGTTTGAGGCGAGGCTCCTATGGCTGTGGGAGTTGCCGGCTGGAGACACGGCCAGCACGCCCAGGTGACTGGGAGCACGGGGACCATGGCATCAAGTTCTGATTGCTTAGTATAGGCATTTACTGTATAGTTGCCACCAAAGGCCGATCCAGGAATGTAGCCATAAGCGTAATTCAGCTCTTTGGCAATCTGAATCTTTGTGCTTGCATGGAAAATTCATTTGCCTTAATTTGTGGTGTTTTCTCTTGTTTTAAAATACAGTGACATTTAATTTTTAGGTTCTGCTTAATATTTATGTTCTTGGTAAAGTCTGTGCAGAGCAGGTACCTTCAAGTCTCCCTTTTCAGCCATACTTGGCAAAGGACAGACATGTATATTTCATGATTTGGGTTCAACAGCATTGAAGGCACCCTTTCTCCTGGTGGGGGTGTTTGAGTTATGAATTAAATTCTTAACCTCTGTTTTTCTCCCTTCGATATGCAGGTGTTATTTTTTTTCAAAACAAAAGGAAAAGAGTAGATCCAAGAAGTGCTCTGACTTTCATTAACACATCCTTTTTTATTGAATAGTAAGAGAAATGTGTCGATGTTTAGAAAGCCTCCCCTCAGTTGAGACATGAATGAAATGCACCTGCGTGAAATGATGTCTTGTGTAAAAGGTCAGTTCCCCCCAGTGGTGGGGCAGGAAATGAGGTCAGCTTTACTTTTTGTTCAGGGTGAATGAAAGTTAAGTTTATTAGTTGGAATACTACCTTCTGTGTGGCATTACTCCTTTTTCTAATAAAGATTGTAGATTTTGGATGTTTGGCCCCCCCTTTTGTGAACTGTTAGAATTTTAAAGTTTTAGTGTCCTTTGATTCATCAAAGAAAAGTCGTAAGATTTCGTACTCATAGAACTTAATAGGTAACATATTCTAACACTTAGGAGTATTTAGCGTTGCACTGAGAGAGTCACTGACAAATGACTATTGGGCTGACAGTGTTTTTCCTACCTGTTGAAGCAAATGAGAAGATTATTTAAAATAGAAGAATTTTCAGAAGTCTGATGTGTTAGACATATTGCAGTGTGACTAGACTCTGGCTTTTAGCTGTGTGACCTTGGGCAAGTCATTTCCTAAATGTTCACTGAAAGGACTGATGCTGAAGCTGAAACTCCAGTACTTTGGCCACCTGATGCAAAGAGCTGACTTATTGGAAAAGACCCTGATGCTGGGAAAGATTGAAGGCAGGAGAAGGGGTCAACAGAGGATGAGATGGTTGGATGCCATCACCAACTCGATGGACATGAGTTTGAGCAAGCTCCGGGAGTTGGTGATGGACAGGAAATCCTGGCGTGCTGCAGTCCATGGGGTCACAAAGAGTCGGACACGACTGAGCAACTGAACTGAACTATCTGTAAATTTCTTTCTTTTTTTTTTTTTTTTTGTTGGAGGGAAGTATAAAAAGCAGCATCTGATCATGAAAGTCTTCTTTTTTTTGTCTTCATGACTGGGAATGGGGGATGATTTTTAAGAACCAGAAGGAACTCAGAAGTAACATGCATGGTGATAACAAAATTCTTAGGCTGTATGTCAGGACTGTTGTCTAAACACTCATCGGCTTTCATCGGAGGAAACTTTTCAGAGCTGGGTTTTTACCTCATGTGTCCAGCAGCAGTTGAGAGCATGTCACACACGAGGCAGATGGTGGTGTGGTAGTTTAGTCACTAAGTTATGTCCCACTCTTTTGCAACTCCGTGGACTGTAGCCCACCAGGTTCCTCTGTTCATAGAATTTTCCAGGCAGGAATACTGGAGCGGGTTGCCATTTCCTTCTCCAGGGGATCTTCCCGACCCAGGGCTTGAACCCAGGTCTCCTGCATTGTCAGGCAGATTCTTTACCGACTGAACCTCCAGGTACTGCAGACCTTTTCACTGAAAGCCTGCCATTAACACAGTTCAATGCTAATAGTCACTGCACTTGATTTTATTTTAACCTAATGCTCAAATTCAGTGACTTTCTTACGAAGGAACTCATTAATGAATGTCTGGCTGCCTGTAGCCCATGGATATAAAGGCTTGTGAGTTTAATGTGCTGTGTAAGGACTTAACTGTGCTGTTTCTTCTCCCTGAGTAAACGAAGTTCAGTGCCTCTCGGACTTTATTGGAAACCTGAAACCTAAGCAGTGTGGCCCAGCCGACCCACTTGTACTGGCAGGCAGCATGCCTCCGCTGGGAAGATGGGTCAGGAGATGCTGGGGACCAACGCGGGTGACTGGAGCAATCCTTTCACAGCACATAGGAGTGGCCAAGGCGGGAGGCTCGAGCCCAGCTTCTTCCTACAACTCCTGGGGCTCCGCAGGGATTTCATTTGCAGGAAGTTAGCAGTGCAATTTTCTTGAGAATTTTTTAATGAACAGTGTGTAGAGAAGTACCTTTTAAAGGCATCTGAAGGTAAACTAGTTTGGGTGGCATTTTCTCAAATGCTGAGCTGCTAACGGGCCCCTTTCTGCATGGTACAGCCCTAGTTTTTAAGACCCGGGGGTCTGGGGGCGGTGACACTGGTCATTTGGCCTCTTTCCCCAGGCCCCGATGTGTGTACATGTGTGTTCAATAAAAGCTCTCGGAGGGTAAGACTCATGACTTCAGGTTCATCTCTTTGGTTGTCTTATATTGTCCACAGCAGCCACGGTCTGATGTCCTGTGACTGAGAAGCCAGCTGTTGACTCTGTTATGATGCCTTTGGAGATGGAGCCCAAAATGAGCAAACTTGCCTTTGGATGCCAGCGGAGCTCCACATCAGATGATGACTCGGGCTGCGCGCTGGAGGAGTACGCCTGGGTGCCCCCAGGCCTCAGACCCGAGCAGGTGGGAACCGCGTCGTCCACCTTTCTGGTTTTCAGTGTGATTTAAGGTCTTCGGTGTTCTGTCTTTTAGTGATCAGACATCACTGCCTCAGTGACATGCTGTGTCCTTGGGCCTTACTCTTCTTCGGGTGGTTTTGCTTTTTTAAGTCAGTTTCTCAATGAAAGTCTCCAGCCCCTTTCATACTCTTGGGTCCAGAAGGATGTTATTTTTTCCCTGATGAGTGAAACCCAGAGTGCTGCCTGTGCCTTTGTTATATGGATTTCTGACTTAGGTGTCCGTTTGGAGAGAGTGGGAGGAACTTACTAACCTTTTGAAAAACTTTAGTAACAACAAAAAGGAAATGAAAGGGGAAGGTTTCTGTGGCAGTTCTCTGCAGTGCCTCGGCTTTGGGAGAGAGGAGGCAGAGCTCTGAGACCATTTCAGTGTCACTGCTTAGATCTCTGATAACCTTGCACAGGAAAGAGTCTGTCACCACACCATGTGAATCGGAAAAATTAAAGAGCCAATTCTGTGCTTTGTTGTATTGTTATTTTAAGGAAGATGAGAACATTGTGTGTACCTGTTTTTATCTTCCCAATATCCTTATAATGATGAACTTGTTAAAAACCTGCTGGTGACAGACACAAGGACCAAGGCAGTTGGAAACAAGGGGGGCCGTTGGGCTCCCGAGTTATGGTTGGGCTTCCCGTTTGGTGGGCACCCCCTTGAGAAGAGGGGTTTCCGACTCATCCAGGGCCTCACCCACCGCCTGGCACACACATAGCTGGTGTTTGGCGTTTGCAACCATACAAGCTCTGGTGGCTGATACAGTGGGACACGGGGAAGAGCTGGGCTCCAGGTAGGAAGGCCGTGTTTCGACCGACCTTTAAGAGAGCACCCTTCCTGCAGCTTTGGTGAGTAGGTTTGTGAGATCTTGAAATGTTGAAGCAAACAGGCCCCAGATTCTAGTCTTCTCATTTCTGGAATCATCTTCATTCTTCCTCAGCACTGCAGCATCCTTTGCAGTGTTCATCAGGGGGTTTCCTTTAGATACAGCGGGAAGAAAAAAATCAAACAGAACTTGAGTTCTCCTTTCAGATGCACTGAGTACGGCTCAGTATAGTGCCCCTCCAGTGTCCTGGGGGAAACTGGCTCCAGGTATTCAGGAAACAGCACCCATGGAAGCAAAGAAAGCTGAAGCTTGAGAGAACCTGATAAGGGAGAGTTTCCACAGTTTAACAGAACAGCTTTTGTCTTTGCGGCTTGTGAAATTCAGAGAGCAAATCCAGGGTGTTTGTGTAGTGGCTGGATCGTGGACAGTGTCACACAGCCTGTGTGGTCACTTCCAGTGTTCACTCAGAATGCTCTTGGCTGACCCTAGGGAGATCACTAAGCAATGGTAGCATTAAATGTGCATATTTTATGGTGCGTAATTTATGATGCCCCTGGTTGTTACTACAAATTACATTCCTGGAGAGCCCTTTAGCAGCTGGGTGCTAGCTAGCTGGGGGTTTGTGCTTCTGCTGGCCTGGCTCAGCTGGTCTTCTCGTTAGCGGCCAGCAGCCACATCCTGTCAGAGGTAACTTCTCGGGATGGACTGAGCTGAAGTGTTCACTTCCTGTGTGCTGACGTCCTCCTCCCTCTCTCCCTCAGATCCAGCTCTATTTTGCTTGCTTACCAGAGGAAAAGGTTCCTTATGTTAACAGCCCTGGAGAGAAGCACCGAATTAAACAGCTTTTGTACCAGTTGCCACCACATGATAATGAGGTAAAATAACAGGAAGAAGGCTAATTAGGAAAAAAAAAATCCACCCTCAGCGTTGTGATGCCTCCCATAAACTTAAGACTCCTGCCTTTCTTCAGATAAAATTGGGCTGGAGAATACAGCTCTCCATTCTTTAAGAGAGAAAAGGGTGTCAGTGCAATAAACTTAACACAAGTTGGTTTTTTATAGTGTTTGCAGCCACCCACCAGTTACCAGGAACCTACAGGTTCCTGCAATTTCTCCACCCCTTCGCCCAGTCAGAGCTTTATGGGGCTTTGGGCCTGCAGTGGGCTTGAGTGCCTGTAGAATGTATAATGAAGGTGGCAGTTAACCAGTTTAAGCCTTTTGAAGAAAGGTTAATGCCTTAGGTTTTGTTTTTTTTTAGCATCTCTGCTGATAAAAGTTTAAATTAAACTTTTCATCCTTTTTTTTAAAAACAAAAAAGGACTTCTGTAGCAGTCCAGTGGTTAAGACTCCATGCTTCCAATGCAAGGGGTATGGGTTCAATCCCTGGTTGAGGAACTAAGATCCCACATTCTGCGTGGTGTGGCCAAAAAAAGGGAAGATTGCATTTCACTTTTGCTAGAGAGGTTGCAAGATCTGGTGTCTTTTTAAAGGTATGGGGTCATTTTTAAACTGGGGATTCAGGAGAGCAGACCAGCTACACTTGCTGTTTTCTTTCCTGAAACTCAATTCTGGAAATAAAGAATTGGTGAGGGAGGCTGTGTGCCTCAGAGGGTGCTTCTGTTTCCTTCTGTGAAGGTGCGGTACTGCCAGACTTTGAGTGAGGAGGAGAAAAAAGAACTGCAAGTGTTCAGTGCGCAGCGGAAGAAAGAAGCACTAGGAAGAGGAACAATTAAACTTCTGTCCAGAGCAGTAATGCATGCCGTGTGCGAGCAGGTAGCGAGTTCTGGATGGACGGGTGGTGATGTCTTGGATCAGTTGAGGGGGAGAGGTGGGAGGGAGCAGATGGCCAGGCCAGCATCTGTGTGAGCCCTAAAAACCTCCAAAAACTATAAGAAAAGCAACGTAGCTTCATATTAAATGGGGATTTCTGTCCGTAACTGGCCACACTGCTGTGTGTATGGGGGAGGCAGCCCCTTAAGTAAACATGGGGTGAAATCCTGAGGTCCTGGCATGGAGGGGGCACGGCTGGGGTGTGCCTCCTGTTCTGAAACACAGGGACATGATAGAGACGTTCAGGGCCTTAGTGGGCATTCTCAGAGCAAGAATAGATCCAACAGGAGCCCGCCCCCGGAAGACCACCTCGAGTGTTCTCAGCGAGCAGTCCAGCGTGGTAGGTAGTAAAGCCGAGGCGTGTTCACTCCAGTGGAGAATGACAGTTCCACAGGGAAGAGTTGTTTCACCACTAGCAGGAGGGAAGAGAAAGTCTCCCTGATAGATCTGGGGTTGGGTGTTAAGTGGAAAAGGCAGAGACTGCAGTCATTGAAGAAGCATCGTTTTAAATCTAAATCCTTTTGTTTTTAGTGTGGGCTGAAGATAAACGGAGGTGAAATTGCAGTGTTTGCCTCGCGAGCGGGCCCGGGAGTGTGCTGGCACCCATCCTGTTTTGTCTGCTTCACGTGCAGTGAGCTGCTGGTCGACCTCATCTATTTTTATCAGGATGGAAAAATTCACTGTGGCCGGCACCATGCTGAGCTGCTCAAACCCCGGTGTTCAGCATGTGACGAGGTAAAAAAGTTCACCCCTTAACACCGGGAAAAATAAATAAGCTTCTAGTCAGCCAACATTCCACTGTTCACACCTCAGCCAAATAGACATCTCCGCTGCATGTGCTGTGTGCATGTAGTTTTAAGATGACCCTGTACAGTGGGATAAGGGAGTCCTATGCAGCTAATGAAGCGAATGCAGCTGGTGTCTGTGTGCACTGATGGATTATGAGAAAAAAGCAAGTTGCAAGAAGAGTGTGTAAAGATCGATCTTACTTTTGTTAAAGAGGGGAAGAACAAACTGTATACATAGTTGTAAACACTGAGAGACAGCGTGTAAAGACATAGACTGAGTTCACAGTGGTTAACCCTGGAGCATGTGTGGGAAGGGCTGGTGGTGCAAAATGAAGTTTTTCTACCGTAGGCTTTTTATTTTTAAGGAATTTTAGATTTACAGAAGAGTTGCAAAAATATCTCGGAGAGTCCCTGTATACCCTTCTCCTAGCTTGTTAATTATCTTATGTAATCATGGTATATGCATCAAAACTAAGAAATTAACATTGTTATAATATTTTAACTAAATCATAGACTTCATTTAGATTTCCTCAGTTTTTCTACTCATGTCTGTGTTTTATTCTGACACCTCATCCAAGGAACCTCATTGCATTTATGCATTATATCTCCCTAGTCTTCCTCAATCAGTAATAGTAAACTTCCAGTTTTTTACTTTTGTATATTTAAATTTCTTCTATGATGTGCTATTTGAAAAGTTTTTGAAACCAAAAATATGGAAAAATCAAAAAGCCCTTAATCTGGAGATGGCCATCAGGTCAAAGGAAGCATCATCTGCATTAAGTGCTGTTCACTTATCCAGCCCCCAGCTCGCTGTAACTGGTGGCTCCCAGCCACTTTAATGAGTTTTTTTTTTTTTTTAATATTAAAAGGTGCACAGGCCGCTAAATTACTTCAGGGTTAATGTGTTCTTTGCCGCATTATGCCTACAAAGTGTGACTGGGGAGCAACAATATGACCAAGTATATTACCTCCAATGTAGAATTCTGTGTTTTCTTTTAAAGTGTAAGCATGCACTTAGTTTCTCTTTTTCAATGTTTTCAAGTTCTGTTCTTGTTCTGTAGCTACATCAAGTTACATGTAAGCTTGAGGCTGTAAGAAACAAAGATCCAGTGCCTGTCAGTTGCCCAGAAAATAGGGTTACTTGGCCTTTAAAATCATTCACAATGATTTTCTTTCATCCTGTGGTTTCTTGTTTCTCTTTAAAGATAATTTTTGCTGACGAGTGCACAGAAGCTGAGGGTCGGCATTGGCACATGAAACACTTCTGCTGCCTGGAGTGCGAGACGGTCCTGGGGGGACAGAGGTACATCATGAAGGACGGCCGCCCATTCTGCTGCGGCTGCTTCGAGTCCCTGTATGCAGAGTACTGCGAGACGTGCGGGGAGCACATCGGTGCGTCTGTGGCCCAGCCTGCGGCTTTGTCACTTGTCCGTCACTCTGTCTCTGGTTATCCAGTGTTTTTTTCTTTCTTTTTGTTTTTGATGGAGGTATAGTTTACGTACAGTGAAATCTGAAAGATTTAAATGTTTTGGTTTGATGAATTTTGACGAACGGGTGTAGACTGGATTCTCATCACTCCTGGCAGTTGTGATCTGTTAAGTCCCCATGAACATGATTATCCAGTACCTAGCCATGGCTCCTGGAGATACAGTGAGTTAGTTCCGATGAGCCTCTGGTTGAAACAGTGTCATAAACCAAACAGATAACCTTATTTCCTGTGTATTTTGCTTTAAAGACACCTTATTTAATATATGTGGTTGATGCATTAAATTGAACTCACAGTCAACAGCCCTGTCCCACCTGCTTGGACAAAGCTCATCTGACCCGTGAATTGCCTCTGTGAGGCACATCACAGCCTTCTGTGCTGGGCCCCACTAGACAGCACTTCAGCTGTGTGCTTGGGCCATTTTAAACAGCAAAGTCACTCAGAGAAAGTACAGACGTGGGAAAGAAAACAGGCCTTGTGTGACGTGTGAGCACTGACCCAGGAGGCCCCCCTTTCACCTGAGCTGGGATGCAGCAGCATCACTTGACTCAAACTTTTTGCCACTTTGCACATGTCTGCAAGTGACCTTGGAGACTCTGCAAGGATTGATTTTGGAACTAACAGGAAATTTAGCACATAGATCAATTTATAAATGAGAATGAACTGCACCTGTGTAAGTCCCAGCTCTATCAAGATCCAGGACAGTCTCCTCACCCTCAAAGGTTCCCTCATGCCCACCGTCTGTCTCCTTCTTCCTCTGTGTCAGGGCGGAACCATAACTTGTGATTCTTTCCTTTCTCGAAACAGGTGTGGACCACGCGCAGATGACCTATGATGGGCAGCACTGGCATGCCACAGAGGCCTGCTTTTCCTGTGCCCAGTGTAAAACCTCTCTGTTGGGATGCCCCTTCCTCCCCAAACAAGGCCAGATTTATTGCTCTAAGACATGCAGCCTCGGTGAAGACGTGCATGCCTCCGATTCTTCCGACTCTGCGTTCCAGTCGGCTCGGTCAAGAGACTCCAGGAGAAGTGTCCGGATGGGCAAGAGCAGCCGGTCAGCAGACCAGTGTCGTCAGTCACTCCTTCTGTCCCCTGCTCTGAACTACAAGTTTCCTGGCCTGTCAGGCAATGCTGACGACACCCTATCTCGGAAGCTGGACGATCTGAGCCTTTCCAGGCAAGGAGCAAGTTTTGTCAATGAAGAATTTTGGAAAGGCAGAGTAGAGCACGAAACCCCAGAAGACCCTGAAGAATGGGCAGAGCATGAAGATTATATGACACAGCTCCTCCTCAAGTTTGGTGATAAAAGTCTCTTTCAGCAGCAGCCCAGTGAGATGGACATTCGAGCCAGTGAGCATTGGATAGCTGATAACATGGTTAAAAATAAGACTGAGTTAAAGCAAAACAACCAGAGCCTTGCAAGTAAAAAATACCAATCTGATATGTATTGGGCACAGTCACAAGATGGACTGGGAGATTCTGCTTATGGCAGCCACCCAGGCCCTGCGAGCAGTCGAAGACTCCAGGAATTGGATCTGGACCATGGGGCTTCAGGATACAATCACGATCAGACACAGTGGTATGAAGATTCCCTGGAGTGCTTGTCGGACCTGAAACCAGAGCAAAGTGTTCGGGATTCTATGGATTCTTTGGCTTTGTCTAATATCACAGGTATGTAATCTAGGGATTATGGGGTATTTGAAAAAGGAGCCACTAAAAAGTTTATGCCAAAAGTTACAGTTCAGCAACCAGTAGGGTCTATTTTTTTTTGCGGGGCGGGTGGCTATGATTTTTAAAACCGTAGACCATGGGAAGGAAGGAGTTTCAGTTAAATGCTAAACACTGTCGCAAAACAACAGTGTATTAAACAGCAGAGACACCACTTTGCTGACAAAAGTCTGTAGCATCAAAGCTATGGTTTTTCCGGTAGTCATGTATGAATGTGAGAGCTGGATCATAAAGAAGGCTGAGCACCAAAGAACGATGCTTTGAAATTGTGGTATTGGAGAAGACTCTTGAGAGTCCCTTGGACAGCAAGGAAATCAAACCAGTCAATCCTAATGGATATCAATCCTGAGTATTCATTGGCAGGATTAATGCTGAAGCTGAAGCTCCATACTTGGGCCATCTGACGTGAGAAACTGACTCGTTGGGAAAGACCCTTATGCTAGGGAACATTGAAGGCAGGAGGAGAAGGGGGCGGCAGAGGATGAAATGGCCAAATGGCATCATCGACTCAATGGACATGAGTTTGAGCAAGCTCCAGAAGATGGTGACGGACAGGGAAGCCTGGCATGCTGCAGTCTGTGGAGTCACAGAGTTGAATACAATTTAGCGACTGAACAGAACAGATAGCATAGCAAACACTCACATACTTGTATGCATACATATAAAATAAACTTTCAGTACAGTCTTTGGGGACAGATATTGTTATCCCTGTTTTGAAGAGAAGAGATCAGTTTCTTTGGATGATGGAGTCTACATCTGTATTTGAAAGATATTGGACTCTGGATCATTCTGTATGAATTAAAGATATTAAAATCAACATGCATACTCCATAAGCACAGAACATTTTTTTTATTTTCCTGAATTGCCCTGTGGCAATAGACAGTTCAAAATTAGCTAAGTTTTTTTTTAACCCAGATTATAAAATAATTTCACTTTAATGTTTTCAAAACACTTTGGTGTCAGTTATCTACATTTCATCCTTACAATGACCCTGAGAGAGTGGATATTATTGCATTTTACAAATGTGGAAAGTTGAATTACCAAGAGACTAGGGAATTCCTTGGCAGTCCAGTGGTTAGGACTCTGTTCTTTCATTTCCATGACCCGGGTTCAGTCCCTAGTTGAGGAACTAAGATCCTGCAAGCCACATGGCATGATCAAAAATACAAAACCAGAACACCAAAAAAAACCAAGAAGCTAAATGTCCAACTTTATATAAGTATTTAAAGATAAGTTTGATCCTAGAACCCAACCCTCCTGAATCTTACATTTGCCACAAGTTTTTGGGTACTGTTGTTGCTTGGTTAGTTTCATAGTCCAACCAATGACACTAGTCCTTTCATAAAGGTTATGTTACATTGTAACAGAAGCAGGAGAGGCTTGAGCAGCTGCCAGGAGGGCCCCAGGCCAGGTGCTGGGCACAGAGGATTAAGACAGCTACCCTCTGACTTTGGTTGGGCTTGTCAACATTAAAGCCTATAATTTAGGGGACTTAAGGAATGGTGGGTAAGACTAAATACTAAGCACCTCCTGTTTGCTAGGCCCTCTGATAGGTGTTTCAACATTTAAATATCAAAAATAGACAGCATTTGGTATACGTCATGTTATTGCTTACTTTTCTTGACAACAATCGGCTCAAAAATAGGCTTTATTTAGAAATTGGGAAGCAATGTAGTCACCAGCTGACAGCAGTTCACAGCGCTCCCTGTTGTTGCTTACTGCCAGCTGGGTTGTGTTCATTTCTCTTAACTTGCCTGAGCCCTGTTGTAACAAGGAGTGCAACATCATCGGTTTTGAGCAAAGTTTTAAAATGGAATTAATCTGGAAGTGGAATATCAGTTTATGGGTTGACGGAGCAGAAGATTGGATAAAGGCCTGGGGTCAGGGGTTTGGCAAACTTTTTCCATAAAAGGCTAGCTAGGACTTTTGGGACGTTATAGTCTTTGTTGTAACTACTCAACTCTACACTGTGGGAAAAACCATAGGCAGCAGAGAAGCAAACAGATATATCTGGCCCAGTGAAACTGTATCCACACATAGGCTGTGGGCTGGATCCGGCCCTTGGGCCGTTCGACTACCAGTCCAGGTATAAGAGAAGACTAGTCTTGGCTTAAGAAGAGGGCCATAATGGTGGCCGTGTGCTTGCAAAGGGAAGGACTGCTTTGAGAGAGATTTAGATGAAACAGCTGGCTTTAATGGGTTGAGAGACAGAAGCTTCTGTGTGTCATGTTAGTAAATTAATGACAGAACTGTTATGAAGAGCTTTTAGTTTGGCTGCTCATCCCATGGGCTGTAACTCATGTTTGGCCCCTAAATGCCTGGGGCTCATGAGAGATGCTGGGCCTCTTGTTTCAATGATAAAATTCATACCTCTTCTTGATTTAGGTATATATGTCCATTGGTTTTGCCCAGTGATTGTTCATCAGATATTGAAATTCAAGGGACTTCACTTCAAAATGCTTCTAAAACTTGTTGGTAATAACTGTCAGAGTGTTAGGGTTGTTGACAGTCACGTCTTGTCTTGGCTTTTCTTTTAGGGGCGTCAGTGGATGGAGAAAGCAAGCCGAGGCCATCATTGTATTCTCTGCAAAACTTTGAGGAAATAGAGACAGAAGACTGTGAGAAAATGAGCAATATGGGGACTTTGAACTCTTCCATGCTGCACAGGAGCACAGAGTCCTTGAAGAGCCTCAGTTCAGAGTTGTGTCCAGAAAAAATCCTGCCCGAGGAGAAACCACTTCACCTGCCAGTGCTCCGAAGGTCCAAGTCTCAGTCCAGGCCACAGCAGGTCAAGTTTTCAGATGATGTCATTGACAATGGAAGCTACGAGAACATCGAAATCCGGCAGCCGCCAATGAGTGAGAGAACTCGGAGACGGGTGTACCATTTTGAAGAGAGGGGACCCAGGTCCCATCACCATCGCCGCAGGAGAAGTAGGAAGTCCCGCTCAGACAATGCCCTGAACCTTGTCACAGAAAGAAAGTACTCTCCCAAGGACAGGCTGCGGCTCTACACCCCCGATAACTACGAAAAGTTTATCCAGAACAAGAGTGCCCGGGAAATCCAGGCCTACATCCAGAATGCTGACCTCTATGGGCAGTACACCCACGCCGCTTCTGACTACGCCCTGCAGAACCCGGGGGGGCCGCGCTTTCTAGGCCTCTATGGGGAGGACGATGGCTCCTGGTGCTCCTCCTCCACCTCCTCCTCCTCTGACTCAGAAGAAGAAGGGTATTTTCTTGGACAGCCAATTCCTCAGCCCCGGCCGCAGAGATACGCCTACTACACAGACGACCTTTCTAGTCCAACTTCTGCACTCCCCACGCCTCAGTTTGGTCAGAGGACAACTAAATCCAAGAAGAAAAAGGGACACAAGGGCAAAAACTGTATTATTTCTTAATGTAGTAGCTGCGGAGATTGTATTTAAACTTAGCCATTAACCACCTTAAATCATATCTTTTTTCTTCCATAGGAAAGTTGCTAAAATAGATTCAAGTGCTTTGCCCATGTAAATGAGACCCCGACTGCTGTTTACAGTGTCAGATTAACCTTTGGAAGGTGTGATTTCTCCACTTAACCCTCCTTGGATGGTGCCAGGTAGACATGACCTTGTGTGTCTGTTGGGTGCATCACAATTTGACACAGCTGCTTTGGTCTCCAAACCTCGAGAGATCCGCGAGAAGCTGTTGAGAGGTGACTGGATGGGGGTGTTGATTTTTAGACAATGGAGAACTTGAGCCACCTTTGTCAAGCAGTAGTGTTTGTCGTTTGTCTGCACCAGGTTGACCCAGGTCCTGACAGTCTGTCCAGTCGTGTGGCATGCACGTAGTCATGTGACCCAGCCAACACTGTGCGTCCCACTGTGCAAGGCCACCTCATCCCCTTCCAGCCCTTATTAGCCAGGTAAACATTATATTAGCTCCAGCTACAGATCGAAAAGAACATTGCTATTTATAATGTAGTATTTCATAGACTTAAGTGTATTCCTAATTTAACGGTGCAAATATTAATGTACATACTGTACAGTTCAGATTTTAAAGCTGATATTTTTATATCCCTGAAATGTAAGATGTTTGTTACACTGCAGTGCTAGATTTGTTAGGGAACCAGAAACAGCATTTATGGATGAAATGATTGCTTGTATCTTAGTCAGGGTTTATAAGTTTAGATGGTCAAATGTATATTGCCTAGTGATGCAAAGTTCTTTTTTTTTTTTTTTCAATTTTTCAACATTAAAAAGGCTCTGTATGCATGGTGGGGCTATGTAAATACTCTTTAAAACTATGGCCCTATTAATCTTACAAGTGTTATTTATGGGTCAAGCAATGTAAACTGTATAAATGTAAAAACAAACAAAAATAATCTCCCCACACATACCCCTGGAATATATATATGGTTAAAAACAAGGAGAAGCTGTTTGGGTGAATATTTTTTTCCCCTTGGGGATGGCAGGGGGTGCCTTACCCGTTTTCAGCAAGGTAGTGATTATCTCAAGGAAAAAGACCAACAAACTACAAGGATCTGCTCTCTGTGGCAGAGTGCTTTGTAGGTTGATTCCTTTTCACCCCTCCCTTCCAGCTAATTTGTTGGCCTTCTGGTTATGTTTTTCTTTTAAAATCTTTAAATTAGAGGATTCTGTGCTGCTGGCTACTTAAAGTTAATCTGGGGTTCTGTTTCAAGGGGGAATTACATTGGATTTGAACTGACAAGCTAGTACTTCGATATGGGTCATTCTTACCCATGTATTTCAGTCCTAACTTAGTGTCCTAGTGGTATCTCAGACCTTTAGGAAGGTATTTAATAAATGCTTAATCAATAACAAATGACCTTTCTGAACAAGATCTCTTCAAACACATCCAGATCACGTTCATTTTGCTCCTTTGACTAGCCTTGCTGTTCTACCATTAACAGACCAACGTTTGACTCCTCCTGCACATCCACTTGCCCTACTAGCTTGTGTGAAATAGTACTTGAGGCATAGAGGCAGAGCTGCCCACATGTACTGGTGTGGGAAAAGCTGTTGGGCCCTGGGAGGGCAGACCTGAATCCAGTAGGAAAGCCAGCAGTCAACAACATCCCCTGTACTCACAGCCTGGACAGGGCAAGGTTTGGTATCCAGGCTAGGCAGAGCCCTTCAGAAGCACACCAGTGGGAATGACTCCATTATCATCTCCGTGTTCTGATTCACTTTAAAAACAGCATTGCAAAGAAAATGCATGCACATGGTTTAAAAAAAAGCAAAAGACATGAAGTATCTCCTTTCCACTCTCCTTCCCTTGGTTCCCCTCCCTAGAAGTAACCACTGTTACCCATTAGTTGTGTATCCTTCAGATGTTCAAAGCATATTTACATTAATGTATCTTTTTAAAATGCCAGGAAACTACACCAACTAAGACTTGCTTTTCTCACTTTACATGTGGGTATTCCACGTTAGTGGGTATAGGTCTACCTCACTCTGTTCTTGCAATGACTTCATAATAGTCTGCTTTTGGATATACCGTAATTTATTTCACCTGTCCCTTGGTGATGGGCTTCAGTTTTCTCATAGACACTTTATCCTTCATTGGCACATATGCACATAAATTCTGAGTAGCACGGTTATGGGAGAAAGGTTATGTGTTAACAATTTTGATGGCCGTCACCAGTTTTCCTCAAGAAGGCGATCTCCTGATCCTCATTTACAGTGCTAGTGCTTCTTCTCTCACGATCTCACGTGACAGAGGAGCAGGTTTCCAGATTTTGAAGATCTTTTCAGAACTTTTGCTGCAAACAGTGGGCATCCTTTTAGAAAAGACCTTTGCCTTGAAAGGGTGGATAATGAAATACTCAGCCTTCCTTAGCCTGGAGAAAGGCAGGGATAAGCTGAAGTCACTGTCCTCAGTAGTTTTCAAGTTCTGGTTGCTTTTGCTCTTCCTAGTAATCACCCCATTCATTTCTTCATTTCCTTACATAAGGGTTATATCGACTGCCAAAGGTTTAAGGAAATGCCGAAATATTTATTCACAATAGTAATGTAAGCTTTAAAGCTTTTAAATCTTGGGTGATAGCAATAACAAAGACTGTCTACAAAGGACAAGAGAGAGGCAGCTGCCCTGCAGCCCTGTAAAGAATTAGGCTAGAAAACTAGGCCTACATTTGCTAAAAGGTATTCATAGATTTCATTAACAAGGTGTTTGGTCCATCACAAAACTCAAAATTTAGCCCCAAGCTAAGTATCAAATACTAAAACACTGCCTCTGGTCTCTACATGGGTGAAGCAGAAGCCCAGTGATTGCATTTTCCTCACTTCAGACCAAACTGGAGCACATACCGCCCGTGGAGGGATGCTGATAAGTCAGTGGGCACTGCTTTCCAGTACTCAGTAAGAGAATGACTCACCTTGTGTACGTACTTGATATTCTTGACACTCAGCTTTCTAGTTCCTGAGTTAAATAAGTATCACAAGTGCAAGGAGAGATTTGCTGTCTGGTGGTGCTAGTGCTAAAGGATCCACCTGCCAGTGCAGGAGATGCAGGTTCAGTCCCTGGGTCAGGAAGATCCCTTGGAGGAGGAAATGGCTACCCACTCTAGTATTCTTGCCTGGAGAATTCCTCGGACGGAGGAACTTGGTGGGCCCCAGTGCACAGGGTCACAAAGAGTTCGGTGCAACTGAGCATAGCTCTCACTTTAGATCCAAAGCATAAGCCGTTGTAAGACAGAAGTAAAACTGGAATGAGCACCGAAGACTGCTAGATGTCCGCATGTGGCCCTGTTCTATGTGGTCCTCGGGTGGGGGGCCAGGCAAGTTAGAACAGGTGTGGAGGTGCTGTGGGGCGGCCGACGTGGTGTGGGCAGGCTGTGGCTGAGCGCCACGCTCCTGCGGCACATGCGGCTGCTGCCGGGCATGAGAGAAGGAAGCAGTGCTAGAACGTCAGTCTTTCCAAAAGCAGCCAAGAACTTGAACTCTGGTAAAACGTCTCCCACCTTCTCAATGCTAGCAACTAATTCAAACATTTCTGAAGCCCTTTGAACAAAATGAACCTGCCATCAGCACATGGGTTATAAATTTAAGCACTTGAAGTCATCCCTTAGAGCTGTCTAGAGGAGGCACAACTATTACTATTTACAGAAAGATGTGACTTTTTTTTTTTGATGTTCAAGGAAGAAAAATTATTGGGGTTTTAAAAAATTCCACTAAAAGCCTTATTATCAGATTTAATGTTAGCAACACAATTATAAAAAAGGCCTTTTTAATTTGTCAAATGAGAAAATTGCCTAGTTAGATTCTCTAGCTGTTCTTTGGAACTTTCTAACAAGGCATGCTCCTGAACAGTCACGTGGGTTTTCTGCTCGTTCTCGGCACTTGAGAAAGGCTTCCAGGCTCACTGGAGAAATAAGCAGGAGCAACTGAATTTTGCATCTCTGAGCTCTGGCATCTCTATGCCAAAATCATAGCGGTAACTTTACTAGGGGAAGAAAGGTGAAGGGTGGGTTTTGCAGCTTACAAAGGAAGTGTCGAGGACAAGTAAGACGTGGGGTATGTGTGTATAGACTTGCTCACAGGATTACAGCCTGTCTTCTTGCTTGAACAGACCAAGCTAGCTGGTCAGATTCCCATTTGAGAGATCAATTTTAACCTCAACTCTTATTTTTACAAAAGAAATTTCACATCCCTGCTGCCCTGTGTGCACAGGTGCTGTTAGGGCAACTGAGAAGGAACTTGCAGAGCATTCTCCAGAAGCACTTGATTCCAGACAACATGAACAGTACCATCAAGAATATGAAACTAGTTCTCCTAAGTGCTATCACTTGTTTTAGCAGGTTTAGGTCAACAAACTAAAAGCAACTGATGTTGGAAAAAGTGATTACTAGTCTAATATAAACCTGCCACAAAGTTGATGTTGGAGAGATGCAAAGCATGCTGGACTCTAGAATTCAGGGGATGTGCGTTAGGTGACTCCCCTCGCTCGTTAACTCAGGCGGGTTGAGTGCTGTGACCCAGTTTCCATTTCTGTAAAATGAGAGGTGCTCAACCATCTCAAAGGCTTCCTTCCAGCTTGGGTATTCTGTGAAGACCAAACTGAATTTATTGGGTCAGCCAGCAGACAGGTCACCCCACTCAGCATACAGTGTCATTTCCCTCTTCTGACTCTTCATTTACCAACATGCTTGGCAAAGATTCCTGAAAGGATGATCCTTCCAGAGACCATGGCTCCTGGGAGTTGGTAGCTTTAAAGACAATCGGTTTTAATGCTTGGGACTCTGAGTGGGCATGAAGTTTGGCAGTGGTTCTCTCCCTCTAGGTGCATATGCTTCAAAAGTTGGCCTTTTCCTTTCTTAAGTAGGCAGTCTGGAGATGGCATAATGAATATGGTGGAACATAAGACATTTTCCTCCCTCGTATTTTTCCCCCAATTACCAAGATAAAATGATTTTTTTTTTCTACAATGCAGTTAGTGGCAGTCTGGAATCTCTGAACATGTTGTAAGCAAAGCTGGAAGAGTGTTAACTATGTTTAATTAATGCTGGCTTCCAGCATAGGAGAGTTGAATTACCAGGTTTATTGCACTTAGCTGGCTCTTCTCAAACCACTGTGGGTCCAGGTGCCACACCAGAGAGCAGAGATCCAGGCTCTGCGCTAACTGTGGGGGCTGTAGCCCTGCCTACCCCTTAACAACCGTGTCTTATTAACCTGTCAGATGTTTTCTAAATTAACTCCGAAGCAGAAGTCCTAGAAATCAACATAGACGGTAGTAGTGACTGGATACAGGTGAAAATCTACTGAGCAAGGATTTTAATTTTATCAAAAGTTGTTTGTAAGTTATTTTTATATATTGCCCATCACAAACATATTACACTGTAAATGTACACACCAGCTAGTGTGTCCTGGAGTCACCATTGGAACCTAGTTCTGAATGACCACTAAACTTCTACTTCTTTTAAGAACACTAAATTTTAAAGTTGAAAGATAGGGATAAAACACTAACTCTGCCCCTTCCAGCTATATGACCTTAGGCAAGCCCTTAATTGTAAAGTGAGAAAAAAATACTCATTGGCTTACAACATGTAAAAGTGTTTGTGAATCTAAAAACATTAGAATGGTCCTTCTAACCTGGTTCAGATAGTGAAATAAATGAAAAACATGGTGCTCCTCTGAATCCTATATTTAGTATATTAAACCTGAAATGTATGCTACATCTGATGGTACACTTGATTCTACTCTACAGAAGTAACAGAATCCAAAGTTTTTAAAATGTGAAGTTCCTACAAGGTGGGGACCAATTCCATGCCCCTGCCTACACTTGCAGGACGTGACCCTTTACTCAGCATTCGCACCTCAGGATGGGGGCAGGCCGTGTAGGCTTTGCGGAGGTCAAGTTGCCCCAGGGAATGAGATGCTGAGAAAACGGTGCCTCTCTTCTTGGCCCCTCTCTTCTTGCTCCTGTGTTGGAAAGGAAAGGGGACTTTCACACATGACTCCCCTCTCAGCTGAGGAAGCCCTGCAGTGTTGAGGAGCCACACCGCACGCCCACCCTCTGTGGTGGTGGAAGGTCACCTTGGTTGAGCCCACATCACTGCTAAGGTTCAGTCCTGGCCAGTAAAGGAAAGGGAAGTTGAACACTTGACCACAAAACACGCCTTGGCCTGCTGAGCTGTGGCTGTGTGGGACTGTCGCCTCTCTCCCGCCTGCCCCAGCCCTCCGCGCACTCTCACATACAGACGTTCTCCCACAGCCCCGTCCTCTGGGGCTGACCCCTTCTGGCCTCAGCAGCCTCAGGCAAGCAGACGGTGTGCTCATGCCAGGCGCTGGTGCGGGGTCTGCTTGAGAGCACGAAAGCCATTTGGCCAGTGCGTCTTCCTGAGAGTTCGGTCCTGAAGGGGGGCCTCTTGCCATCAGACCGATGGGGGACAGCACACTTTCCGGTTGCTGGAGCCTAGCCCTCTCTGCGAACCCTCACTGCCCTCAAGGACAACAGCAGGGATTCAGCCAGAGAGCCTGAGGGGGCACCAGCAGGAGCCCCAGGAGCAGAGCCCCAGGCCAGCAGCAGCCTTCCCGGAGAGTGGAGTCCTGACGGTCCCGTGCCAGCCGGTCAGGATCACTCTGTCCTTTCTCCTCCCCATCTCACACCTGTTCTAACCGGAAAAACATGACCGAACAGGAGCAGCCTAGGCAGTGGAGAAAGGCCTCAGGCGTCCTCTTCAGCAAGTGTCTGCATAAGTGTGCGTATTTTCTATCTTGTGCTAAATCACTTAGTCATGTCCAGCTCTTCGCGACCCCATGGACTGTAGCCCACCAGGCTCCTCTGTCCATGGAATTCTCCAGGTAAGAATACTGGAGTGGCCATGCTCTCCTCCAGGGGATCTTCCTGACCCAGGGATGGAACCCAGGTCTCCCGCATTGCAGGCAGATTCTTTACCAGCTGAGCTACCAGGGAAGGCCACTGTATTACTGTATGGTAATAGATGGAAACTATAGTCTGCTGGTGAGCACACTATGGAGGACATAGAAGTAGGGATAGAAGGTTGTACACATGTAACGTATGTTATTCATCAGTTACCTCTAAAAAAATAATTAACCCCCCCCCCCAAAGCTGAAACTACTACAGAATATTTAGGCAGTATAGCATGAGTCCTTTTTTCAGGGGATCTGGCCAGCCCTTCCTTCATGAGGTTCTGGGTCTATGAACTGGCTCAGGGCTGGCAAGCAGCAGAGGGGCTATGAGAAATCAATGTTTATGGCAAGAATAAATATTGATACAAAGGTTAATTATTTAAAAATCTTAAGTAGCAGAGAAAGGATTCAAAGCCCTTCATGTTCCTGCTCTCAATCTACCATTTCCTACATTCATCCCCTATCGTCTTCCCCAACCTGAACTTCCAATACTTTCCCTTCTCTCCCTGAATAAGACCCAGAGATCAAATGGCACTTCCTTTGTGAAGCACAGAAAATAGGAGGACCTACAACTTTCCAAGCTATGCTAGGAACCAGGGTTACAAAGACAACACGTTTCCTGTACCCCCAGAGGTTACTATAAAGATGTAGGATTTTAATCCTGTAATTCTCTGAAACTCAGATTCATAATTACACAATTATTGAGCACTACGATATGCTCAATGGGGTTCCCAGGTGGCACAGTGGTAAAGAACCCACTTGCCAATGCAGGAGATGGAAGAGACGCAGATTTGACCCCTGGGTTGGGGAGATCCCCTGAAGGAGGGCATGACAACCCATCCCAGTATTCTTGCCTGGAGAATCCTATGGACAGAGGGGCCTGGCGGGTTACAGTCGTTAGGGTTGCACTGAGTTGAACATGACTGAAGCGACTTAGCACACAGGCACGTGACTCAGTGCTCAATCTTGCCTCACTTAACTGCTTTCTCAGACACGGAGATTCCCCAAGTCACCAAAGTTAATATTATAGTTCCTCAACCCTCAAACATCCTCCATCCTGCTGCTGAGCAGGTCAGAAGCAATCTTGCAGTAGACAGCAATAAAAATCCACATTTAAGCAAAACATTTTAAGCCAGTTTTTTTTCTTTTTTAAAAAAGAGACAATCTAATTATTTAAAACTGGTTGCTTTATTTTGCACTTTTAAAGTTCACAAAAGCTTCACAATATCTGCTTTCTCTCTGTTGATCATCAAGGCTTTATGGTTAAGACAAAACTTTATCACATCAATTGGGCATACTCAAAAACAATGGATAATTTACAAACAAATTTCTTCAATCAAGAACATTTTGCAGCATACAAACCCTGGCAGGTATCTGAATTCATCTATCCTAAAATAAAACTTTAAAAAGCTTTAAAAATAAAACAAACAGATTTAACACTGACAAGCCCACCAGGATAATGCTGATGGCAAGTTATAAACAGCTTGAAATGCTGAATGTTATTTGGGGAAGGAGAAAAGAAACTATCCACTGAACCTATATTTAAATGCATCTGTGAGTAAAATTTCTCTAGTTTAATGAACTTCAACAAAGTGAACAACTCCTCTGTCTCAAGTTTTATTTTTAAACTTGAGACATCTTGACTTGAGGAAATGAATCCTGGAGTTAGAATATTTAAGAAGAAAAAATGGGCATTAGAAACAAATCAGTACTTTCTTAAGTCTTTCTAATGTGGGTAACAGATAAAACCACTTTTCACATTAGGGAAGAATACCAAAGATGATACACAGGGTTTAGTTTTGGCTTATGTACAATATCTAAATTCAAGGTGACCTCATATAGGAAACTTAATAAATTGTTGCCTTCAATTAGTTTGTTAATCTGTGAAATTGCATAATGCATATTTTGAGGCACTCATTACAGGATCCACTAGAATTATTTATACTGCTATTTCTACTTTTAATAGAAGTTTTATCTACTCTTATAGCTCTTTAGATAATAGAGGCCACTAAAAATAATGCCAAAATTCAACTGAGAAGAGAGTGGAATGGAAAAAGAATGGAAGGATAACGAAATTGGGTAGTAATAACAAATATTTTTAAAAGTTTCCAAACACATGCCACAAAATTACATATTTTGGCTAAATGCCACCGGGCAGCTGGAAGTGATCAGGAAATGAGCGGAATACCCTAATTGTCCCAGTTAGATTCTTAACTAACCCGTGATTTGGATGGCTCGCTCATGAAGGACTGTTTACACAGGCAGCTTGGTGAAGGGTAGATGTGCTAGGCTTACTGCCTACTTCAGAAACATTTTGAGAAGGCTATGAGCCCCTAAAAAGGACAGCAGAACAAGAGTTTGTTGGATTACAAACATAGATTAACAAAGGCATAATGTGTTTAATCATGGATATGTTATCAATCACGTTCTTTCTTGAGATGGGGAATATGGGCCTATAGATAAAATGAACTCCACTACTTCCCCACATTCTTTATTTTTTCTTTTTAAAAATTTAGAAATTTTTAAAGAAATCACAATTTTAAAATAGGCCTCATCTTTCATCTCCAACTTCCCCTTCTGTTAGCCTTCTATGTGGATAATATTTAAGACTCACACAGCAGTGAGACCAGTCAGACGTTTCAGGATTATTTTAACAGAAGACATTGAGTTCATTTACTTGGAAAACAGGATTTTATTATGAGGTGTCTTTCAGAGATTTAAATGCTCTATTTCATCACAATGAGAATTATCCTCAAAGCAAATATTCCCCAAGATACCAAAGTATTCAGTTTATTTGAATATACTTAAACATATTGAAAGTTACAAAGCCTAAGGTAAGCAAGCAACAAGTCAATAAAACACAACTCAGAATTCTAACATTTTCACATGGTATCACTGACTATGAAATGCAAAAAGATTACAAATGTTTAAGTGGAATGTATTCTAACCTATAAATTACACTAGTGTGACCAAACAAATGATCACATAACAATGGAAGACTACAGGACATGTCCTGTAAGTACAGAAATCTTGGACTGCATTTTCAAGAAAGCTTGAACAATTAATTGACCCATTGTTTTAGGAGAGGGAGAAGAAAGATAAGTATGTATTAGAAGGCTCTACATGTAGATAAAAAAGATTCTAATTAAAATATCTTAAACAGATTATTTTAGATGTTTATTTGATATTGGAAATATGGTCAACTATCATAAAGTATTTCTCTTCACAAAAATTCTATATATTAAGGATTTACACAATCCAGGGGGAAAAAAGTCTAGAAATTTTTTTTTTTGCCTGAGAAAGCAATCTAAAACGGCTCTCCAAAATCTTGACTTGAAGTGTCATACTCTGCAATGAAATGCTTGAGTTCTTCAACACACCGCTCACCTATTTCATGTAAATTCTGTCTCAAGGCAAACTGTATAGACTTTTCTAATGAAGGATCTTTTTCAATCAGCATTTTCACAACCATCCCAAAAGTTTCACAGTCTTGTCGGTAAACCTAGAAAGATAAATATACTGTGGTTACTAAGAATAATTAGCCAAACATTGAGCTGATTCAGTCGACAGAATTATGATACTGAAATCTAAAAGGGAGACACAAAACCTCTCTTGCTCTGAGTGAACACTACTGCCGAACGCCATTTAAACCGCAATCTCTGAGGTTTGCTGGCAAGTTGAATGAGCAGAAAAGCACTGATATGCCACATCACTGACTACAGAAGCTAGGCACAGCATTTGTCAAGCGTGATGCAGTCTACTAATAGGACATAAGACTAGAAATGAGAAGAACTAAGAACAAATGCCAGCTAGGTAAGACATGCTGATAGCTTTATTCATTTACTTGTTTGGAAGAAATAAGATTACAAGCCCCTCCCTAACTTCCAATTATCTGTTCGAATCATGACCAGATGATAGATTCAAAATTCTGTTTAGTATACAACAAACAACTATAAGAAGGCTGAAAGTATTTATTTGAAAAAAGCTTTTCAAGTTATAAATGTTTGACCATAATTAAAATCACCAAGGCAGAGTTCAGATCAAAACAGTATGTTATACACACACATGTTCATGCATACACATGTGTACACACATGTATATATAGTATATGCATGTATACATGTATATGTATTTTCCACTTTAATGTATATATTTTAGTATTTCAATATGTATATATAATTTTTACCAATGGCAATCAAATATTATTTCCTGTCTAAAAACTGCTAAATTTTCTCCACACTAAAGGTCATTTCCTTAGTTTGCAGTCACAAAATGCATTTTAGATTTCTATGCTATTTTTCATACTCTGTAATTCATGTATTTAAAGAAAATTAGTTAAGTCACCATGAAAATTAAATACCAATTATCTGATTTAAAAGTACTGTTTTAATTTTAATTTTTCCAACTTTAACAAAAACAATCAACATGTTCATTCTCTGAAAAAGGATTTTATTCACTTTTTAAAACCTTAGAAGTGATTTGAGACATTGCTTCATCCATGATAGTTCTCATTACTCAAATGATCACTGCTAGTCATGGTGAGTGCTGCTGTGTTTTTAAATGTCTGCTATATATTTTTATCCCTTAAAATAGCTATTTAAAGAAGAGTATTTGTTTTTGACTCTCAGTACTAGGTTGCCAAATTATAGTAAATTCACTTCCGTGCTCTTGAAAACAATTCATAAGCCCCAAAGAATAAGTTCTTCAAATGACCCAGAAATTAAAATATAAAATCCTGTTTGCCTTCTTCATCTCAACACTAAAACACACACATGGTTTTTCTAAATAGTGAATGAAATTTACCCCTAATAGCCATTAAATTTAATTCGACTATTTAAACCAAATATTTATTCCAGTTTATCTCAAGGTTTACATGACCCAGAATTAATATTACTGACTAATAAACCAACTTAGGAAACAGTATACCATCCACATGATATTACACAGGATATCAACGCAAGAGAGCACAGGAACTGGTCTAACAAACAGTATCTAACATAAGTGAAGCCAATGCAGTCCCCGTGGGGGAAGTCAGAACCATGATGTTTTTTACAGTCTTAGTGGAGGTAAATTCCTTACCAAACCAGTCAACCCACATAATAACAGCATTCTAACACCAACCATTGGCCTCAGCAGACCACTTTGTGGGTGGCCTAAATTTTATAGACTTCTTTATAGCAGATGTACTAGATGAGGATAAGGTTACACTGTGAATTAACCTGCAAATTCTTTAATGTAAATCTGTTTTACCTAAACTGTAACTTTTCGTTTAGCATATTTACAGAACATAAATGTACTACAGATTTGCATATCAAAAGTAAAACCGTATTTAAAATGTGTTCATGCATTTATTTAAACTGCAAACTATTCTCTGGAGACAAGATAATAAAAGCATTTACAGGCTCTGTTTTATTTTTTAATTGTAAGTCCTTTTTGAATTATTCACTGAAAAGACAAATTTTTGTACATTAGGTGACAAGAACAATCAGAACTTCCCAAAGCAATGTAATTTTGTACCACAGGATAAATTTTCTACAAAGACTGCTTACAATGCACTGGTTGGGCATTAGACAGGAAGTCATTAGTTTTTTGTTAAAGGAAGGACCTCACCCTCCAAAGTTTTATAAATAAAATTCACAACAGTCAGAAACATATTTCCGAAATCTGTTCCACAGTAAACTCAATCCCAAACAGGAAGGGTGTAGTTATCTGTGGAAGAGTTTGCTTGCTTATGGTCCCAAGCTGGAAATGTATTAATAATCTTCAGACTTGATATCTGCAGGCCACACAGGAAGATTTTTTTGTTGTTGCTTTTTCTCTTGATTGGACCTCATCAAAATGGAAACAGGTTAAAGTTTGGGTGGGACTCACATACACTGCATAGAAATATAGTTAAATTTGCCAGCATAATGAAAACACTATCTAAATGTGGTTTCACACAGTATCTGACTATAGTTATGTTAATAGCTGAAGGCTCATAAAGTGCTTCTAGGAATAAAAGGACATGAAACTACCAAAATTTTTCTACCATTAATTATGTTGTCCAGTGACTGAAGCAAGATTATTTGGCATAACAAACTATGATATAAAACTCCTCTGAAATGTATGTCATTCTAGTCCTTACCTCTGTTCCCAAAAAAGAGAAACCAAAACTTAAGGCAAAATGAGTTGTTAGAATTTTCATTTCAGACAAACATCTTTAGGATATATATTACAGTTCCATAATAGTAGTTTAGTGGAATCATAGCAATCACACAGCCATTAGCCACAGGAAACTACTTGAATTTAGGTAAATATGCATATACTTATCTTAATACTTAATTTCTAATTTATATTAATATTAGGAGGTAAATGAATAAACTGTAGAAGTCAGACATACACACAGCCTTAAAAGACTGAGGAATCAAAACCAATTCTTTTCTCTGTTGTTGATACCTCAAGATTTCCACATAATTTCCTTGATCTGAATTCATTTGGCTTAAAAGGATGTGTCCTATTTCAGGAGAGACACATCCTAATGGTAAACGCAGACAAGTAAAACACACCATAAAGGAGCTATTTAGATGTGGAAGTGGCAGGGAAGCCAGAAAGAGCACAGAAGTGGTTCCAAGAGCAGGTGTATCAAGTTCAAATCCTGACTACTACCACGGGGAACTAAAGAACATCCTCCAACCCCACAGCTAAGATGTCCACATCCTAATTCCTGGAACCTACGGCTATGTTACCTCACATGGTACAAGAGACCTTGCAGGTGTATTTGTATTAAGGATTTTGAGAAGATTTTGAAAAGATTTTGTATTAAGGATTTTGAGAAGAAGAGAGATTATCCTGTATTATCCACATAAATAAAATGTAATCACATACGTTCTTAAGAACAAAATGCAGAAAAAGAGAGGAAATGTGATCACAGAAACAGAAGTTGAGTGATGACTTTTAAAGACAGTTGTAGGGTAGGAGGAGGGAGCTACCCTACCAGCCAAAGAGTACAGGTAGCCTCCAGAATCTGGAAAAGGCCAGGAAAGAGATTCTCCCTTGAAGTGTCCACAGTAAGTTCAGCCCTTGCAGAAATCTTAATTTGGACCTGGTGAAACTTGTTTTGGACTTTACACATTCTTCTTAAGCTCACATGAAACATGCATAAGACAGACCACATTTCAGGCCATAAAACATGCCTTAGCAAATTTAAAAGAAGTATGCTCTCAGACCACAGTGGAAAATTAAGTTAAAATTCCAAAGAAAGATAGCTAGAAAAATCCCCCAATATTTGGAGATTAAACAACATACATGCGTGCATGTTAAGTCGCTTCAGTTGTGTCCAACTCTTTGCAATCCTATGGACTGTAGCCTGTCAGGCTCCTCTGTCCATGGGATTCTCCAAAGCAAGAACACTAGACTGGGTTGCCATGCCCTCCTCCAGGGGATCTTCCCAACCCAGGGATTAAACTCGCATCTCTTACATCTCCTGCATTGGCAAACAGGTTCTTTACCACTAGTGCTAACTGGGAAGCTCCATTAAACAACACACTGCTATTGATAAATAACACCCAAATCAAAGAAGAAGTCTCAAAAGAAATTTTAAAATGTGTCGCAAATATAACATCAAAATTTGTGAGATGCAGCAAATTCATGTGACTTGCTTTATTATGATATCTGCTTTATTACAGTGGTTTGGAACTGAACCTGCGATATCTCCTATGTAAATGTTTGTAAATGGAGATATAGTCTACATTCATGGATAAGAAAACTCACTATTGTTAAGATATTGGTTCTTTCCAACTTGATCTATAAATTCAATAGTCACTACACCAAAATCACAACAAGTAATCTTGTGGATTACTGGCAAACTGCTTCTAAAGATTATATGGAAAGGCAAAAGACCCAGAATGGTCAACACAGTATTAAAGAAAAACAACAAAGTCATAGAACTGACACAACTTCCTATAAAGCCACAGTAATCAAGACTGTATGGTATTATCAAAAGAACAAAGAGATGAGCTGTACAGAATGAAGAGCCCAGAAATAGATTCATACAAATTGCAACTGATCTTTGAGAAGGGAGCAAATAGATTCATACAAATTGCAACTGATCTTTGAGAAGGGAGCAAAGGCAATTCAAGAAGAAAGACCAGACAGCTAGGGTGCTGGCGGAACTGACCATTTACGTGCAAAATCCAGACAGAGACTAACTCACAATGGACTATCAACCTAAATGTAAAATACAGAACTATAATTCTTCTAGAAGATAAACAGGAGAAAAAATCTGGGTGATAACACCAAAAGTATATTCCAAGAAAGAAAAAATGGATTTCATTAAAAATATCTCTGGGATAGACAATGTTAAAAGAACAGACAAGTTACACACTGGAGAAAAATCACTGCAAGGCATATATCTGACAAAATACTGGTATCCAAAATATACAAAAAAATTCTTAAAACTCAGTAATAAAAACAAGCTTGATTTTAAAAATGGGCAAAAGAGCCAAACCTCACCAAAGAAGACAC